ATTAATTATACTATGCCTAATAATAACTTTATAAGGATTAATTATGCTATGCCTAATAATAACTCTCATAAATCACTTTAATTTTCAATATCTTTTTGTCACAAAATACCTTATTGTGGCTTAAGTATAAGAAATAGGCATATGATATCGCAAACTTTTTTTTAGATGGAGGAAAGATCTATATTTTTGTAGAACATTATGCCAGCGCACGCGGATTAGGCAGTTTGGGAGCGCTATTTATTCCTACTTGCTTAACAAAAATCAATATTTAAGGCTAGCTGAGAGGTGTAGCCTCATGCTAGAGAGCCTATACTATTCTTCGTGAATCTGGCTATCATATACAAAAATAATTTATCAAAACTCAATTATATTAGTATAGATTCTCTCCCATTCACTCCTGTAGATTTATATATTTTTCTCTTTGTAGTGTAGCTGTTTCGTTTTATTTGTTTCAAATCACAACGATGCTAAAGAAGTTTTAACTTCAGACTGTGTTCAACTGTTCAAATATTTTAATAACCGTATGCGTTAGGATTGACTGACGCGTGCTTAGCGGCGGGAAGTAATACATCAGCAGTAATAGTCGCAGGTTGGTTATGAATGACGGCTTCAAGTGCAAAATCGGATTTCTAACTTTAATAGGCTCTTCGTATTGAAGCACTCATCACTGAGTGAGTTTCTCACTCACAATAACAGGCAGCAGAAGGACACTGAAAGCGTAATATAATAATAATAAAATAAAAAGTCAGTATGACACACAGACAAAAAAAGAACGACTTAGAGCTGCGTACATTTTAAGTGACGCAAATTTTTATTTTATTTTATTTGTATTTATTTAACCAAAAAATATTACATAATTAAACAATACACTGGTTCCTGCACTAAGCTCTAGGCTTGTATCGCAGGAACCAAGAACATTAACTGACACCGTTTACACCGATAAATACATAGGACTCCGATTGAATTAAAATAAAGCAAAAAAAATTTTTTTGTATAAATTAATGTATGAAAGAGAAAAAATTGCTAGTTTACTCTAGGAGTGCTTGCGTGCGTGCGTGCGTGCGTGTGTGTATGTGTATGTGTGTCTGTGTGTGGGTTGGGGGGTGCGTGCTTGCGCGTGTGTGTGAGTGAGTGTAAGTCTACGCGTATGCATGTATGGGGTCACCTATGAAAGGAAAATAAGTTTTCCGTTTCCTGATAAGAAGCATGTAGCAACCAGGTTGTTATTTTGTGTTTGACTTTGCTTGTGGACAAAGACCTCAAATCTGGGAAGAGACAGCAGAATTTGTTGTAAATGCTAGGCAGAAGAAATAGTGAGTGGCGTTTGATAAAGTTACTGTGTGTATTGGGAATCGGTACCCGAAAGATCCGACGTTGGCACAGGCTAAGATAATCCGGGGAATTTATTATTTTTCTGTGGGTTAGAATTACTGCCTTTAAAATGTAGATTAGGCGAACCCGTAGCACCTTACATTCCTTGTACAGTACGTCAGTAGGAAATCTAAAGTTTTTAGACAGCATTACTTTTAGTACTGCCCGCTGGGCCCTCTCGACTTCAAGAATTTTTGTTTTGATAGCTCCACCCCAAGCCAGCGTGCAGTAGTATAGTAGGGATTGGGTTAGTGCTTTGTAAACCATTTTCATTGTTTCTTTAGTAGCACAGCGTCGCAAAGCTTTCATTATGTAAATGGTTTTCCTAACACTACCCGACAAGCGGCTTAGGTGGTTTTTAAATGATAGCTTATCATCAATGATCACTCCTATATACCTGATATTATCTGTGTTGATGATTATATTACAGTCGCATGAGGGTACTTCAGGTTCGCAAGTGTGAATTACTAAGCTTATCAGCGAAAATGGGTTTGATGCTAGAGTTTTGTGAAAGGCTATGAACTTAGTTTTTTTTTTTTATGGTTTAGGTTAGTACATTAGAACTTAACCATTTATTTAAAACTACCATGCCTTTTTGAGCCGTCTCGAGTACGCTATCCCAAGTTAAATCATTAAATATAATGGCTGTATCATCCGCATAGCATATGACGTCTGCTCTTTGTATGGGTAATTCTACGACGTCATTAATGTAAATGCACAATAGGATTGGACCAAGAATACTTCCTCGAGGAACTCCAATACTGATTTTTAATTGCTTACTTGTATGTGAGCCCACTCTTATGCATTGACGCCGATTTAAAAGATAGCTACGGAACAAAGCCAACGCCACTCCTCTAATTCCTTTTGTTTCAAGCTTCCGCAGCAGTATAGGGACCAACACGGTGTCGAAGGCCGTAGCAAGATCTAGGAAGATACCTACACAGCTGCGTTTATTGTTCAAATATCTAGACACAGCATCTGTCAGTAGAACTACCGCATCCTCCGTCGACTTACCCCTCCTGAAGCCAAATTGATTTACAGAGAGCAGATTATTACTTTCTATAAAGTTGGTGAGGCGCTTGCATACAATTTTTTCCAGTAACTTGGAAAATATACTTAGCAAAGATATGGTCCTGTAATTGCTAGGACAGTTTTTATTCCCATCTTTGTGTATTGGAGTAACAACTGCTGATTTCCAACAATTAGGAAAAATGCCACATAACAGATTAAATATGTGGGTAAGTGGTTGTAGAACTGTGTGTTTTATGTGTTTAATCAACCTTGGGGTGCAGCCGTCGATACCCGGTGCAGTATCGTTTTTTAGCTGGCCAATAAGGGTACCAACTTCATAAGGATCCGTTGGCTGCAGAAAGAGGGAGTCCTTGCAAAGCACTCTTGGTTTGTATTCTGTAGCTAACAGGTCTTCTTGGGTGTTTAATCTACTGACCGTGTCATCTGCCAGTTCTCTGCCAACTCTAGAAAAGTACTCGTTACATGTGTTTAAAGAAGAATCTGGGTCTTTGTCTACGGACAACAATTCAGTAGCCTCGGTAGTGTTACGTGAGAGATTACATATATTTTTGAGCGTTTTCCACAATTTTTTTGGGTTATCTTTATTTTAGTGAATATTATTATTCTCGTAATTTCGGTCTTTAATTTTCGTTGTAGCGCATAGAGGAAGTTTCTGTATCGTTTATAAGTTATTTGGATAAATGTATTATAAGGGTTTCTCCTGGCTTCGAGATGCAGACTGTCACGGTGTTTTACTAAAACTTTAAAAAAAGTTTTAGTAAATACGAAGCCATTACCATTCCAACTAATTGTAAGAACACGGACTCACATCAACATGTGCAACATGTATGCGCCAAGCAGTGAACTTCTACGAGACAATGCTAAACTAAAAATTATAAAATATATATTTTTTTATAGTGTAAGGGTAACAAACGGGCACACAGTCCACCTGATGGATCCTTGATTACGAATCAAAATGCAAATGCGTTGTTACCCGTGAGGAAGTAAGATGGAATGCCTTCTTTCCAGTAAAAAGGGTCTTCAGTTCTCTATACTCATCATACGAAACACAGCAGCGTTAAGCTGCTATTTTACGCTGATATTCTGTGAGAGCGTGGGCCTTCCCCGGTGGAGCTGACCCATTCGTGCTACAATTATACTACTAATATAGCTGCAGTATAGCTCTACCGCTACCTAAATACTCAATTACATTAAACTTAATTCTACTAACTTCATCAATTTATAAATATAATTATTTTAATATTATTACAAAAATTCGGTGGTTTGGTCACGTAGAAAGAATGAACGAGGAAAGAGTGACAAAGCAAATTTATGTTGCAGAAGTGAACGGCAGGGTCGGGAAGGGACGCCCTAGACGAAGGTTTATCGACCAAATCGGCGATACATTAAAAATGGGCCAGATTAGGAGTACCCTTAACCGACGAGCGTGTATGCGTAGATATATGGATGTAAAAGAGGCGAGAGAGGTGTGTCAGGATCGCGCCAAATGGAAGTCCGTAGTCTCTGCCTACCCCTCTGGGTGACAGGCGTGAGTGTTTATGTTTATGTACAAAAATTTCTCACAAGGCCCTGTACGCCGCTTTGGTTAATATCTGTGTGTGTGTGTGTGTGTGTTGTTGAAGAAGTTGGGCATGGTTGCGGCATCTATCTTCTTCTTCTTATATATAAATAAAATGGTAGACGATTGAAGTTGTGCGCGTATCACCGAAAAACTACTGAATAGATTTCAGTTAGATTTTCTGTTTTATTTCTTAGACACTTGGCCCTTATCAAAAAAATATTGCGATATCTTCATTTAATATAAAGTTATTAAAGTTTTAAGAAACAACTATTTGTATACGGGGTTTCTCACACACGGTCAACTGTACGTCGCTTGCTCTCGCGTTACTAACCCAGATAATTTATATATTTCAGCTACAAACGGAGCAACGAATAACATTGTTTACAAATAAATTTTTTAAGCAAAGTATATTTTTGCTTGCGTATTTATTGATGTTTTTTCTTTCGCACATACGAAAACTTTGTTAATAATATTTCAAGCAACGCGGACGAAGTCGCGGGTATCAGCTAGCAATTTTATAAGTACGCAACGCTTCGTCTATCTTTCTTTGTTAGTCTAGAGTGTGACAATGATAGTATTTTATTCCATATTTTTATCATAAATCATTGGTAGATAGTTCCGATATTCATACAGTCAGATTTCTACTGCCGATATTTTATTGTTAATATCACATTAAATTGCTGAATTACCACATTAAACCTGTTTACTGGAAACAATTCATTCCATCTTAGTCCTCAGGGGTGACAACATATCTGCATTTTGATTCAAGGGTGTCCGGTTCTCAACACTCACACCATTAGAAAAACAGCAGCATTAAGCTGCTATTTTATATAGAAAGCGTGGTGCTTCCCCGGTCGAGCCGCTCCATTCGTGCTACAACTCCCAAGTGTAAAACTTTAGTAAAATACGCGGATTTTCGATGTTGCCGTCGTAGCAAGCAACTCAAACAAATACGACACCAATGTTAGGCACTTTCGTACTTCTAATTTAATGTGGTATTAAATTGTTACTTCATAAAATTTTTGTTCAATTAAAGGTGGAAATGGCATGCGAACTACAGAAGCCGCTGTTCGTTCACGAAAAAGAAGCTCAAGACGACTTGCTAAAGATCTTGGACGAGTTCGGAAACCGCCTCCCGCCCGTGGTCATCCACTCCTTCACAGGTTCAGTGGAGCAGGGGCTTAAGTACATCGAGAAGGGCTTCTATTTGGGCATCACCGGGTACATTTGCAAGGACAAGTCCGACGGTGGGATAAGGAGGTTGCTGTCAGAGAGGATTCTGCCCTTGGACAAGTTGCTCGTGGAGACCGACTCGCCGTTCATGTACCCCAACATGAGGGCTTCCAAACTGCCCTTGCACGTAAAGGACTCATTGACAGAGAGGTAAGGAAGAGTTTGTATGTTGCCTGCCTATAGTTTAGAATGATAAGTGGAATTTTTTATAGAGTAAAGGTGACAAACAAGCACACAATCCACCTGATGGTAAGTGGATACTGTGGTTCATAGACATCTATATCTACCTTCGATTAAGAATCAAAATGCAGATGCGTTGTGAACTCTGAAGACTATGATGGAAGATTCCAGTAAAAAGGGTCTCCGTTTCTCTATATTCACCATACAAAACACAGTAGCATGGTCCTTCCCGGTCGAGCCGACCCATTTGTGCTCCAACTATAATATAGCCGCAGCATGGCTCTACCATGTATAAACTACTAACGAATGCTTCACATTATGTACTGGCTCTATTTACCCTGCCGACCGGAAAACAGCTGTGCAAGCACTACTGTGAATTAGGTAAGAGGGTTGTGGCAGCACAGTCGTCGCGCCACAAGCGAAACGCACCGAAGCCTAAATCGCGCTATCAAAGTTCTGAAGCTACCGCGCTATATATAGAATAGCTCCGAAATAATACATGGAGCGTTGGCCGCTCCCCGGACGTACACCGGGCCCGACGGGAGATCTCCCCTTTTCCTTCTACCGGACCTACCCAGACCGACTCTTAGGCAGAGAAGAAACTTACCACCTGCATGGGCTGCCGTAAACACTTAATACCATCAGGTGGACTGTAGGTTCGTTTGTCACTCCAGTTTTTATATATCTATCAATCTTGTTTTTTTATTACTTTTTTATTATTCTAAGCCAGCGCTTAACTACAATCCCACTTGATGGTAAGTGGTGATGTATCCTAAAATGGTGAAGCGCACTGACTTAACAAAAACCTATTCATTCTTGCCTTGTAGACACCCACATTATATTCGGATGGAAACACAGATTCTGGCAACTTATTCCACTCCTTTGCTGTACACATGATGAACGATGTAAATAACTGTTTGGTTCGAATGCGTGGTAAGTCAACAACGAAGGGGTGGAAACTGGCCGAATATCTGTATGTTCGATGGTGGAAGGGAGAGGGGTGAATTAAATTATGCAATTCCTGCGCACACTCTGAAATGCATCCTGTAGAAGACCGAAAGGCTGGCTACTTTGCACCTTTTTTGTGAAAATATAATGCATGTTTTGAAGAATTATCTTTTTTTTATATATATTACGAGAATTCGGCGCACCTAATTGAAAATTCCGCTACCATGTTTTTGGGGCGCCCTTATCTAATATCTAATTATTCACTTTGACACTCGGCTTCGGCTTTATCGTATTTTTTATGTGTACACTTACACTTGTAGCAGTTGCCTTTGGGTTATTTCCATTTTTTTATGATTCCAAGGCTTAACCGTGTAGTGACAGTGTAAGAATATCGGCTCACAGAATCACAGAGTACCAGCGTAAAATAGCAGCTTAATGCTGCTGTGTTTCGTATGGTGAGTGTAGAGAACCGGAGACCCTTTTTACTGGAAAAGAGGCATTACATCTTAGTCCTCACGAGTGACAACGCATCTGATTTTTGATTCTTTATTGAGGATAAATGTAGATGTCTATGGGCCACAGCAACCACTTACCATCAGGTGGACTGTGTGCTCGTTTGTCACTCGATCCTATAAAAAAAAGAATATCTACTATCCCGTATCAACCCATGGGTGTCGTAAGAGGCGACAGACCTTCCTGATAACAGCTGAATAAAAAAAACTGCAGTTACCAACATGCTTGTCAAGGGTGGCAACTATGGAAAATCTCCCACCTAAAAGGCTATTCAAGGTGTTCAGCAGTGGATTTTTAATAGGCTGTAATGGTACTGATCTAGAGCTAATACTTTCGTTTGTTCCAGATCCATGAATTTCGTGAACCGCTACTGCACCTTCCAACGAAATGAGCCGTGTGCCTTGCCCGCTATAGTGGAGCTTGCAGCCGGTTTCATGGGCCGCAGTCCTCAGGACGTAGCCTTAGCCACCGCGTTCAACGCACTCAAGCTGTTTGGTCTAAGTCACTGAGGGTCACAACCTCGAAGTATAGAATACACCGAGGAGACATAAGTCTATGAGTGAGGGTAGTTAGGATGGAAGCTACTTAGCTAACTCCTCTTGGGGAGGGGAATTTTTAAACAGCTTTTGCGGTTAATGCTGAGCTTAGAAAGTGACTATACAAGCAAGGCTCAGTACTCTATGAAAATTAATTTTATGTGTACAGTTGAAACATTGTTGAAGGAAGACGGTAGCATAATGCAACCAGCCAGCATTTAGTCTAAGATCCTCAAGATTACAAAGAACTGAATATGGTCTGAGATTTGAATTGAGTTTTCACTTAGCCACCCTTAGATTGTTAAATCTTGCCATATATAATACTTCTATGTTATAAACATAGTTGTAAGTTGATTCACTAAAAAAACATCATCCCTCCCCAAAAAAGAAGTATGATCAATTTCTTATAAAAAAATATTTAAAGTACCACACTGAGCCAATTCCTCGGTTGTATTAATTTAATTAATTTAGAGTCGATTACATAGGCGTTTCTACTAACACTGTATTCGTGCCTTCTTAATTGCAATAAGATAAATTGTATTTATAATTTAATGTAATGTTACCGAATGGAGAGATTTATAAATTATTTATATTGATGAAACGGAATGTCTGTTTCTTCAGATGTAGAATGACAACAATTGAAAACTGAAATGGCTCGAACGTTTAAAATACTCAGAAATCCGTACAACGTGCATTTCGTGATGACTGATAATAATTACTTGCTAGTTTGATGCAATTTGAGGCTAAGACTAATAAACATTCGAAAATTCTTGCCATCGAATATAAATAAGACTAACATAATGCCTCTAAATTAAGTAATTCTAGATTGGTATACGAAAATTAATTTATTGTTTAGTGTGGAGGAAAAGGCGGGAACGATACGCCATGTTTGATTTATCGATCATGACATTCGTGTCATGATGGCGGGAAAACCCTCCCGTTATCTTAAACAAGATTTGATTTTGCAAAATCACATACAAAGTACGTAAAATATACATTTCAATTGCGTACCTGAGCGTTTAAAAGTCTATAATGCCCTTTTGTTAAGATAGACTTAAAGCGCGAGGAGCATAACGAAGCATTGATTTTTTTTGTATGTTGTCTATGACATATTTTTTATTTATTTATTATTGTGGCTTTTTATGTTTAATGTTAGTATTTGCACGTGCCTTTGATGTTTAGCATTGAATATGGTGGCAATGGCTTTAGCAACTTAGTCAGAATGATCTCAACTATTTTACTTGTGTGTATAGAAAACTTTATCAATAGTTGTGCCCGGTGTTTGTACAAAAATTTCTAGAATGAGAACTTTTCATGTCATCGGAGGCAGCGGTTAGTGACGCAGCTGTTGTCGAGAGCGACTTGACCCTGTACAATTGTGTATACTTGCCTATTTTTTTTTAGTCAAGCTCGACTTGTTTTCGTCAACTGCGTTATTGACTACTTATCCTTCTACCGATTTATCGCATACCCTGGGCGGTTGGGCTCATGCGGTCAACTGCCATGAGGCAGGCCTGCCACAGTTCTGTTGCCACCGTATAGGTGTTTATTTCGCTCTGCGCAGAGCATTCCTATTCGAATTAATTCTATTTTCGCATCGAATATTGTAAATAATTATAATTGTGTAGCTAAAGGTTTAATGCTGGTAGTCACAACGAAATCAAAGACTGCAAGTATTAAAAGAATAAATATTGTGGATTTTGACATGTTAATTATTATGTTTTGTAATGATATTTTAAATTATTTAATCGTTTATTAGAACCGGCTGCGTTCTGGACCGATAGAGTGATGTGACATAATATATTAGATTTTTGCCGAGAGTCCAATGCGTGGTCGGATTAAGAGTATTGTTATTGATTCCTTTATTTTTGGACAATCACTTTGTTAATAGATGTTAAGGCGCCTATTGGGATGTGAGGATTTACTAAGAAACGCACATTTATGGCGCATACAAGCAATAATCTATAGGCGTCTCGGTGCAGTTCCTAGTAAATCCTTCCAGAAATATTTATATACACGAATCCCGTGGGCGATGTACTGTAGTGCCTTCGACAGAACGTCCTTTTGTGATACAATATTTTTCTTAGATTGTACAGATTATTACTTTCAATAAAAATTCTGAAAACATTGGCGTTTATTCATTTATCTTTGTGAACACCCTTCCTATGCTCAAAAAATAGGCTAGCACGAATAATTAAAAATAATTCAGTCGTATTATTCAATCATCGTTGACATGTCAGGATTTGTAGATCCCAAGTTTATGTGTGACATAAAAAAGATGTGCCAATAGTCTTACTTGTTTAGCATGTCGTAAAAGACTTCTAATAGGATATTGGGTTTGTGATTGTAGGCGATGAACTAGTCACCTATCACTTCTTTTGCAATTTACCATCTAAACCCATATTTTTTGGCTTAACATGGTTACACTGAGCCGCCGCTTTTTACATAGTCTAAGATTGCAAGCGTATCATTCTATTACAGTCTATCAAAAGTCTACCACTGAACATATTGCCTCAGTCAGTGGTCTTGGGATATTATCATCATTGATTGTTCGCCTGGTTTAGCTGTCGTCAACATCTTTTCATAACTTCGCAAAGGACACATCAGCATATCTTGAACAATTTTGGGAACCAAAATTTAAATCGAAATAGGTTGTATGGTCTAAGACCTTTGCCTACATTATTGTTACGATAACAACAACTGCATGATGTATTTGAGTTTGATATTTTGATGATGTTTTTGGTGGCAAGTGGGAACTTGACCGCCTGTGAGTTTTTGCTTCTGTTTACTCGTTTAATTAATAGTTTAAAATGGATTTTGATACAAAAAAGCATGTGAATTAGGAAATAAACGATGTCCAAGTGCTTCGATGTGATGATGATAAATCTCAAGGATTTTCACCCTTATAGGCGACTTGAGATACTATCGTCATTAACTGTTGTCAAATCTTTCAAAAACTGCATTGTGACGCATCAGCCTAATGTAAAGTAAATAAAAAACACATCAGAATAGGCTGTACGGTCTAAGATTTCTTTGCCCGCCTTATTTAGCAAGTACTAAAACATCTATCAGTGTGACCATATGTGGCAGGTTCCTGCCATTTCGGTAGGATTGGCCTCTTATTTTAACCTCTGGCATGATCGGTTGACGTTTTATAAAACCTGGCAGTATTTGGCAGTATTGGGGTATTAAATTATGAATAATGAAAAAAAATAGATTTCATTATGGCAATTTAAAATGCCGAAAATGGCAACCCTAGATACTTCGCCAGCATGTGGAGTTTTTCCCTGTACTTCTCGTATTATGTTTGTATCACATTCAATTTAAAAGTTTGTGTGTAAAGTTTATAGTCTTAAAATGAGTATTCAAAAACACGAGTTTATGGTTAATATTTCAATCGGTCATAGAAGAGACGTACTTTAGTTTGATGTCGCATTAGATTTCATGGTGATAATATCTTTTTAATAATATTTCGTGGACGATAGCAATTACAGGTGGTGTTAGTGAAGCGAAAATATGAAAGGGCATATAGAGCAGAGTGGGAGCAAGATCCTTTACTTTCGTCGTGGATCTCCAAAACTAAAGATGATCCAGACTGCAAATTGGCACCCCGGCTGTCCGCTTTAAAGGAGCATGCCGCTACTGGTAAACATCAGAAAAATATGAGTGGATTCAGCATGCGAAAGACTATGCATTGCATTCAAACTAACGAAATATATTATGTTTAATTTAATTTAATAAAAATATAATATTTAAATGTGTATTTTTACTTTTCTTAGTTTAATACAATGGTAAATAAAGTTGACCGTATTTAGGCATTTTTCACTACAGACTGAAAGGATTTGGCAGGTTTTTAACCAAGATAAGTCATCCGCATAGCAATGAATGTTACCAGTTAGCAACATATCATTGATATGCAGAAGAAACAGTGTTGGTGATAGCACACAGCCTTGTGGAACACCAGCGTTAATAGGCTTGTAGTCAGAGCATGCACCGTCTACAACGACCTTGATGCTCCGATCTGCAAGGAAGCTGGTGATCCAATTGCACAATTTTTCGGGAAGCCCATAAGAAGGGAGCTTCGAAAGAAGCGCTTTGTGCCAAACCCGATCGAAGGCCTTCGCAATGTCCAGACTAACGGCCAACGCCTCCCCCTTGGACTCTACTGCCTCCGCCCATCTATGGGTCAGGTAGACCAGAAGATCACCAGCTGATCGACCCCGACGAAAACCGTATTGGCGGTCACTAATCAGCTGGTGATCCTCAAGGTACCGGATGAGCTGGCAGTTAATAATGGATTCCATTATTTTGGAGAACAAGGAGGTGATGGCGATAGGCCTATAGTTGGATGGGTCTGAGCGGTCGCCTTTTTTTGGGATCGGGTGGACAAAAGCTGTCTTCCATGAATTCGGGACTACGCCTTGGGAGTAGGAGTACCGGAAAAGACGCGTTAGGACCGGTGCCAACTCCGGAGCACACGTCCTCAGTACAATTGGGGGGATTCCGTCAGGCCCACTCTAACTAAATATCCTACTTATCTCACTAATATTATTAATGCGAAATTTTGTGTGTTCTTTCTGTCTCTTTGAGCTTATTCCACAATAAGTATGTACTGTGTATGTGTAATTTTTTCACGCAGAAACGGCTGGACTATTATTTATGTGTGGGTTATACTACTTAATATCTCTGAGGGAGAACAAATAATAGACAAATTATTATAATTAATATAATTTTATTTACAAATCAATTAAAATATAAATATTTTATTCCAAATTAGGCATCCAAATGCACTTTTTGAATGCCAATCTAAGAACATTAAATTGTATTTAAGTCATTCTTTGCATATAGAATGTCACTTAAATATAACTTAAACATTTCGTAAAAACCAGCCTAAGTACAATTTCCTTCATTTTAATATTGAAAGTTGGATTACTGAATAAAATAATTGAATTCTAATTACGGCACTGTCTTTTTGTTATCTTTATGAGGTTTACTTGACGATAGAATACGGCCTGTTCACATAATGATTATAAGCTATAAAAATAATATTTAAGATTAAAATTTCTTTATGTCTGAATGCAAAACAAAGTTTACCACCTTCGTATGATTATTTTACCAATACTGAGCTCTACGGATCTTTATATTTTTAGTTCACATGACACAAAGTGTCGCCATCTAGTGTCGAATATATTTAATTATATTTGAAAGCCGACGCAAAGAGATTTTTCTAGAACTATTTTAATAAATTAGGTGTAAAATTATTTACAAATGAAATGTGATGCCATCCATAACATCAGAGCGTCTATCTGAGTAGTTTTTATACAATAAAACACAACACTTCATCCTTCTCTTCTTAATACTACGAAAATACACCGATTTGCGATTTTTTCAACACATAAGCGCACAGGACGAATGCTGAGAGTATACTAACTAAAGCCACGCCCACTATTATGACGTCAGGACCTACTTAAAATCACAGTGCACAGTTGCTTATGCCGTCTACCCTCCCCTTTGTATTAGCTTCATGGGCTACTCCATGCGAACGACCTTAAGCATTTGGTGTGCCGCGCCGACTCGCTACAATATTGAATATATCGCGTAAGAAATATGTAAGACGCCACCTACTGTACAAACGTAGTATTTTTTCAACATCAATAAACTATTTTATGGAAATACACACAGCGTACAATGATAAATGTATTTTAATTTTTTTTTATTCGGTATATTAGTTGCATTATATTAGAATTATGTATTTTCATATATTATCTAATTATGAAATTTTTAATTAATTATATATTAAAAATGAAGCATTGAAAATTGTGAGTTTAAAGGATACCTACTCACTATAGGTAAATAGATAGATAGCTCGCCTTTTGTACAAATATTTGGTGCAATAAAGAATAAATAAATAAATAGGATGTTTCGCAGAGTGAGAGTAATATAGAATGAGAGTCGTGGAGGCAGTTTACAAACATAAATTGCACAAGGACAAACATCCAGACCCGGAATTTGTAGGCCTCACAAATACGTGTTCCGTGCGGGATTCGAACCCGCGGCCCCCACCACAACAACTGATTGCTAAGCCACTGCGCCACGGAGCCGTCGCCGGGTTATAGGTAAAGTGACCATACGTCCCGTTTTGAACGGGACTGTCCGTTTTCTCGGTCACCTGTCCCATTGTCCCCAAATAAAGCTCCGGGACACAAAATTGTCCCGTAACTCGTTGGATGGAAGTATTCAAAGCCAACAATTTTCAACATAATTTTTTAATGGAATATATTTTATGTCTACCTGGTACAAATAAAAAAAACACTTACGGTTTCAGTTCTAAAGGCGATGTTGTTAAGAAAGGTAAGAATAAAAAAAACCCAGAATTATTCTTATTTAAAATCATCACCAACTTTATTAAAGCAAATTTAATCCACTGACAAATGTAATTAATAATTTAAAAAAATATATGTTGCATTTAATAATTACCGTCTATACCGAATATAATTCTTGTATATTGTAGTCTGAAGTTACAGTGTATAATAATTATCATTCATCGTACACTGCTTCACAATAATATTAATCTTGTCTGTCGAAACTTAATAATTTTTGTATTCCTTTTTGTATTGCACCTACTTGCTGCATTGTTAGCAACTTTTTTTATTGCTCTTTTTGTGTCACACTGTAAAAATACTTTAAGGTTTTTTTTTTGCAATACTGTTTACAACTGGTTAATTTCGTTGGTAAATAATTCCATTAAATTATCTTGTTAATTTAGTCACTAAACAACCTAGATTAACTTTTAAACGTCTGTAGTCTTTGTCGGCGCCGTTACGACAGCACCGACGGTGTTTGCGGGGAGTATGTGAAGTGCGGGGGGTTTCTCACCACCACGCCTAAGACCGGCACTCGCCGATAGCTCGCGACCCGATCGCCACCAAATATTTTGTATTTTTCATTCCTTTTAAATATACAATTTGCCTATCGTGTGAGTCGCCTATTTTATTCATGTTCCCTAATTGAACATAGTGGCGACCGTGATAAATTAAAATATCGAATTCCGATTTCGCCGCGTAATACGGTCCAAAGGTCGTAGCACTTACCCCGCGTTTACAACGTCGCGAACGCAAGTACTACGAGCTACGAGAACAAAGGAAGCCACGCCGATCTACTATATCAGCTAAGAAGATTATTAAATTGGCGTACCATCCCGAGTCCTAAGAACAACAAAGCGGTCAAGAAGAATTCATCTGGAGCGGAGAGAAGACAAGAGGACAGCTATTGAGAACCGGCCAAGCTGAGGTCCAGCGGAGTCTACGCGCCACATCAGCGGTTTTTGCCAACTAAAAGTGAGCCCGTTCCTATTATTTTACCTCTTCGTGTCCCACTATTCCTAAAAATTCTATTTGTGTGAACAGGGAAACAAGGAATCTAGTCCTATTTTTGTTGCCTTACCCTACCTACCTATTCTTAAGCAACATCCTTTATATTCCTTGTCTATCTTATACCCTTTCGTATATAAAACTGCTAATCTAAATAAACTATTCCTACTCAATAATCCTACCAAATAAAATACCTATTAAAACAATCCTAAAAGAATTACCTAGATAAACCTACCGACAATTTACATACCTAACGAGTTAAGATCACCTATTTACACCTATTTGCTTACCTATCAGCTAATTGTCTATCATTTCTTACTATTATTTAGCCGTATCATTTGCTAGGTAATCAGTGCTATTTTTCAAGCCGCCTATAATTTGCATTCATTGCGCCTATTTTACGACTTGAAAGTCTTCACTAGCATTTAATTAGTTAGTAGCCACTGTTAAATAGTTAGAATTTAAATAGCTGAACCTATTTCTTTAAACGTAAGCATACATATGTACATAGCTACGCAAAAATTTGAGCTTAACTCCTCAATGCAAGTAAATTCACTTCTCGCTATTCACTGTTAGCTGTTTATGCACGCAAATAAATTAGTCATCACTATAGCATAATCATTCGCTAAGCCCTATATTACGCTAATTAAACCATTATTTGCACAAATCAATTAAATTTACGATCAACCTTGCTTCCCGTTATTATTTTATGTACGGAGATATCTGCAAAGCATTCCAACAATCAATTTCAGCTACGGTGCAGCGGTCGCTCGAGACTATCATCGCATCCCGTGTCACTGCCAGCACTGCGGGCTCACGTCGTGGTACTGGACCGCGGGCGTCGCGCGTCATCAATCCCACCTTTCACCGCGCTTCTGCTGATTTTGAACCAGTTTCCGTCACAGCGGCCACGAAGCGAGGAAGGTATTGTATGCAATTCTTATTTATTTGATTAGTACAGCGCATAACTAGTTGTTTTGATTGTCTGCGCGTTAACTTTGCTAGTATGGAGGCAAAGTACAAAACTCTTAATTTAAAACGCGCTTCAATTAGAGGCCGTGTTACGAAATTTAATAACCATTTAGAAGAATTAAAAGGTAAAAAGCTTACTCCTACGGAAGTTAGCGTGCTATCGCAGCGATTAGTTAAACTTGAGACTTTATTTGGCGAATTCGATAGCGTGCAAAATCAGATTGAAGCATTGGAGGAAAATAATTTAAGCTTAGAATTGGATACCAGAGAAGTTATCGAACAAGCTTTCCACAATTCGATCGCATTGGCTCAGGAAATTATTTCCGCAAGCAGTACGACAAAAAAGTCGTCGCTTCAGCATAGCAGTATTTACACAGCTGATGAAGATGATCACGAAGTTATCGGCTTTCGT